CAGACCATAATAGTACATTACAATATTTAAGGAAGAAATTAATGAGAAAGTTAAATATGTCTTGGAACTTAAAACACATTTTGTTGCAGGAAAGCCCCCCAACAACTAGATGAATGTTGAAATAGAGGTCATTACACCTTTGACTAACAGCACATATCAAATTATAAAGCTTGTGAAGTCTACAAGAATACTTGTAGAATTCATAAAGAAGAGGACAAACAGTTTACCAATTCAAATTAATCCTTCAAAGAAACAATGAACACTACTGTGAAAACAAATGAATAGACTGCAAGAAGGAAAATGAATGGGATATGTGTTGATTTTAATAAGTTTGATGCTATATTGGGGGGAGGGTGGGAAGTAAAGAAGGAGATTTCAAAAAGTAAGAAAGCTGCTTATGCAGATTGCTCATAAAATACATGGAAAATAGGAACTTAAAAAAAGATGGGGAAAATATTCTAATGTATTATAATCATCCCAAGTCTTCAATTTCAAGAGAAGGATACTTTCACTGCAGAGGACAGTATTATGTCAGAGACTGAGGTTATCTTCCAAGAGATAGTTTTCAGAATACAGAATAAGGTCAAGTGAGTACAGAAGAGCATTTTAAGAACCCAATGACTCTGATTTATGCTCTTGTAAAGTTCAAAAAGCTTGGGATAAAGGGTAAAAGAGGAGCTGGATAGTCTTATGGTTTAGAAATTGTTAAATAGAAGAACCAACAAAATGGATATATTTGCTGATCAGTGAGGGAAAAGAACATGGAATACAGACTAATGAAATATGAAACAGTGAAAAAACTCCCAGGAATAGCAAGTAGAGAAGCACATACACAAAAAAAATTAAAAATAACCTCTTCAGATATCACGTAGTTTCCCTTAATAAATGCGTGTATGTGTATAAGATCTCTTGTTGTAGTACCATTTGAATTGTCTAGTATGGACGTTATTTTCTTGCAGAATAAAATTACTTTAAGATGCCTTGAGAAGCAGCACAGCCTGAAGACTAGATGCTTGTGGGGGAAAATCATTAGAATCCTAGAAATTACTTGAGATTGAAAACAAACTCTACCTGTCTACATGTCTGTGCTTAACTTCTCATTATAATAACCCTGACTGCTCCAATCAGATCTGCTGTAGGAACTTAAGCCTCAAGTCCACATGCAGGCACCTAAAAGGAGACAATACCATTTCAGTGTTGAAATCTCAAACCAAATCTCATTAGTAGACACTAGAAGAAATTAGGGATGCATGAAAGCATCAGTACTATGAAAGAACTAAGGTTCCCTCAGAGACCTCCAGTGCACTAGAGCAGCAGTTAATTAGAATAAAAAGTCATTTGAGGAAAAAAAAAATTAGTTTGTCATGGACACCATGAAAAATACACTTTATCCTCAGTGCATCTATGTGGAAAATTTCGGTTTTATGCTAATTGAAACTCAGCTCAAGCCATTTACTGCCATTACTAAGGATGGAAGTACCAACAAAAATCTGAGTTACATTTGCCAGTTTGGGAGAGCTATCTCAGTTCTTCTGCAGCATAGTGTCTACAGCACCAGGATATACAGGTGAAAGGAAACAAAAAGGGGAAGAGGAAGATCAAATAGTCAAGATGCTTCACAAAAGCTTTTATTGCCATTAACAAAAACTTCATCTATTCTGGCATAGAAGATGGCAGAGATATTTTTCCCACATATATAGTATGATTGAGAATTTCATACAATAGAGGATGGAGGGGATAGAAGCCTGAAAGTTTTCAATGCACTGACTAAAGAACTAATTAAACAAAAAAACCTGGAGCAAGGTCAACAGCTACTTTAACTTTTGTGTCAGTAGTTGAAATAAATAAAATATCAGCAAAATACTTATGGCTTGAAGTGACTAAACTAGTGCCAAAGAGGTGCCAAAATGCAACAGAACCACAAGCTAATTAAGGGTGTAGTGCCACAATGGTCTTTTCCTCAGCTGCTACCATCACTTTCGTAAGAAGCTCAAGTACCAGATGAAGTTCTGGTGACAAATCTGGCAAATTTTAAGGTACGAAGAAAATTTTATTGAAATTTATAGCTGAAAGGTATATATTGGGACTTGAAATACCTGACAGAATGGATGATTACACCTTATACTAACCTCAAGTGAAACATTTCATTAAACAATTAATTAATACTTGGATAGATGAGATTTAAAGTCCAAATATCATCCTGCCCAGTTCCATCAGCCTATTGAAAGTCCAGTACCACAAGCTCAAAGGACCACAAGGGCAGGTGAGAACCCAAATTAGGGACTCAGAAAGGGACACTCAGTTTGGGTCCCCTGCCAGGGCTGTCCTAGAGGAGCTTCAGCTCCAGTGTCTGTGTGTGAAACCCATTATGGTAAGAAAATACCATAGCACCTCTTGGAGTGAGCAGAGGTCAGTGCCTGGGAGCACGGAACAATTCCACAATGGAATGCAGTTTTGGATTGCACAGGATCTGTTATGGGGTGCTCAGGGGAGGAACCAAAGACAAGGGAAGGGATTCAGTGTTTTGTGGGGGGTAATGAGTACCTGAAAATAGAGAGTTAAGGTGGGAAAAAGGGGACTGGTCACATGCAGTTTTCTATTAAATGTGTTTGTCTGGTCATGACCCAACCTCAACCTAGACTGGGATTCAGGGATAGCTGCTGGGCACACACTGGGCAAACCATCTAAGCCCACTGCTAGAGGCACCCACAACAGATATATACACATATACTCTAATAAGTGGATCTCAATCCTGCTCAGCCAGAGAGGGGAACAGGATGAGGGTGTTGGTGCTGTCTGCGAGTGCTCTGTGTGTTATTGGATCTATGTGGCCCATTATGTACATAACAAAAAAAAAAAAAAATGGATACATGTGGTGTATATGCATGTTCTGCCTCCACATGCCTACTGGAGATACATCTTCACCATCATGACTCTTCTGGACTTGGACATAAGGAGCTGCAGCATCCTCCCCTCTCTTGGGCTTTCAGATTAGTTCACTGTACTTTCCCTCAAACAAAAATCAAAGCAGATGATGCATTACAGTGATAGTCCTAAGGTTTTAGTTAAAAATTACACTATGTGCAAGCATAAGTCTGCTGATCATTTATTTAGACACATGCATTTGATGAAAGTAGGCTGAAAATCTGTGTTTTATTAACTTCTTTTTGGGAGGAAAGAGATAGTCTCAGAAGCGACACCACTGATTCTGTGGCACAAACCCCATTTTACACAAAACATATAAACTGGGGTTGAATCCACCTCATTTAATTTTAATTAAATGCTAGTTAAAGGAGCTGCTTTTCAGTCTCCAGATTATGGAGATTTTTTAGGATGGGTGGAATCATCCTCTCCTTCCCTTGTCTACCACGGAAGCTCCACAAATCAGCTGATTTTTAAAGAGCTAAATATGAAATCAGTGCTCCCATTAGAAACTAGACACAGAATGAAGCAGATCTATCAGTGTAGTTGCACTGTAAAGGCTAAGATAGGACTAAGTTGTCCTTCTGTGGCTGCTCTTGTCATTACATCTGCTGGACAGAGTGAAGTTAATTGCCACTAAATAGTCTATAGAGTTTAAAGAACAACACCACAAAAAGCATGAAAATAAAAACACAAAAATAATACTTATCCTCTTTACCTGAATAAGTGTATTCAAAAAGAAACAATAGTAAAACAAAAACACCCTAATAACATGCTTTAACTCTTGGTCAGCCATGAAGCTCTTAGGAAATGGGACTACATGATCATTGCAGGCTCCTTCCAACTGAAAATATTCCATTTGAAAAGCCAAACCTCAAAATTAATAAGAATGCTTCCTTCCATGCAAATAATCTGGGATATACTCTACAGAATTTATTACACCATGCATGCATCTTCTGAGGTATTAAAGCCTGATATACACCATACTGGAAAAACATCACAGTATTCTTTCCCAAAGGCAAGGTTCATTTTAACATTACTTTTGGACCTTATTCCTACTTTCAGAATACTGTCAGGATTTAGTGCTCTTTATTCTGCTTATTTTCTCTTCTCCTCTAATTTATTACAACTGATTCTCAAGTAACAATTGGTTTTAGCTACAGTTAGTTCTTGATTTTAGTGCTGTTCCAATCCCTTCACTTCTATTTTTTCATGGGATCATGGTCAGAACTTAAAAGTTCTAGCCAGTTTGCCTGTTTCCAGTCCTACCTTCCTAAATGCTGTTTGTGGTTTTCAGTGTACAGGTAATTGTCATGATTTTTAAATTATAATAATGCATTAACATCATTACATAATTTGCTGTAAATGGTTCTCAGTATGTCTCAATTGCTGAAGTCATTAAAATCACATTAAAACAATTGTTCATAGACAATCACTGAGTAAATAAGATGCCCTTGCTAATGCCTACAAATACATTTTATTTGCTTTCTTTAAGGCAAATTAGTATAAAACACAGAAAGCACTCCCCTCATCTCTAGTGGAGGGGGACTTTGCATTGATATCATGAAACTAATTCTAGGCAAAAATTACTCTCTTACCTCAGTAAATCTGAACGAAATTGCTTTTCATTTTGGTCATCTTCACAGCTTCCCTTCCCCCCACCCACCTTTCTCCTATACTTCTACACTTTCCCCTTGATTCTGCTGAGCAGCACCAGACAGATTCCCGACTCCATTGGCATTTTTCTTCATTTACAGGCTTTCAGATATAAACAATTCAGGAAGAAGAAAGCTCATATAGCTGACTGCACCTACATTGTGCCTAAAGAGGTAAATGGAAACAGATGAGATCTAATGATGGATACACTTGTGTAAATTCTTTCATCTTCTACCACAAAGGCCATCAGCCACCATGAACTGATCAGCTGAAAAACTTATATTTGACAATATAATTCCTAAAATTTCAGAGAAAGTAAAAAGAAAGGGGAAAAGAGTGGGGAAAAAGCATCTTGCATTAAGAAAGGATTAAAAATTCATTGATTTTCATTCTACTATTTGAAAAAAAAAATCTGATCCTACCTCTTCACAGGCGGTCCTGAAATCCATGTGCTATGACACAGCAAGTGATATTTGTCTAAAATGGAGAGAAAGACTTCATTAGAATGAAAAAGATATAGCAAAACATAGAAGTTATCTGAGATGAGCAATTGCAGTTCTCTTTGCTAGGTCCAGTTATATCCACTGCTTAAAAGGAGAAACGATCAAAGTTGCAACAGGATTAAGATGTTAAAAGTTGTTCCTGTTCTTATAAAGTACACAACCTGGTTTCCTTGACTATAATCAAAGGAATGCTTCTGCTTCCACCACCTCCTCCCTTTCACAGGAGGTTCACAGACAGTTTTCTTATTGCAGCCATAAATTTCCTTCTTTTTATGTTTTTCAATTTCTGTTTCATAAGTAAGAGTATACTCAAAAGTCACAAAAATAGAGACAATCAAATGTTGCCTTTCAGAACACTCCCTCTCTTTTAAAAAACTTTTTTCTTTTCTCCTCTAATTAAAAACCATTGCTTACCAGTACCTTTTGTCTCACGTTTTATTAATGTACCTAATCTCTCCACAGAAGCTGCTGTCATTTAACAGTGTGCTTACTTTGCAGAAATATTCATGAGTTGAAAAACAAATGTTAGAAAAGCCAGGAATATGCGTGAGTGCTGGCAAAATGTCACACCAAATCCTGCGATTATTACTTTGCCTGGCCTTTACCTAAAGCATAGTCATCGCCACACACACTTATGCATTCATTTATTTACATGAAAGCCACTGGAACAGGATGTTAGCAGCGGCTACTAACAGTGTCCTGCTGCTGGTCTGCAATACCCATGCATCAGTCAGAAGCATTTCCAGAAAACACAAAACAGTCCTGGGCAAAACAGCAGTTTAATTCAACAGCTGGAAAACGCAATTCTGTAACAAAATTCTCTCCAAGTATTTTATTGCCATTTTGTATTAATAAAGTACCTGCCATTATTTCTATAAGTATAGTACTCGAAGTTCCAACACAAGATTTGCACCATTAGCCTAAGTTTAAAATAAAATTTCAAATTCCTCACATAGTACAAAAATTTACTTACAATAATTAAAATTAAACCTCTTACAAATAATAAAATCTTTTTGTTAAGTCTCTTGATTTATTCTGCTGCCCTGAATGCAGTTTGATTGAACAGCACACGCTCTGCCTGGTTCACAGCCTGTGCTCCAGACTAATTTCTAGTAGACATAACCTGGGATGGCTAGGTTACAATTCAGAAATTTAAAAGGGACCCATCATCATTCCTTCATTATCAGCTTTATACAAACACCAAGATTCAATAACAAACTGTATCTGCAAATCTGCTATCAAAAATGCTCTTAAAATCAAAGTCACTATTACTGTTTCAAAGATTTTTCTCTCTGGCAGGTCAGCCATTGTTTTGCAAAGTATGTTTCCTTGTAGTCTTCAATGAACTCTTTTTTCAGCTGAGTAAATTGAAGTTGAAAAGAGGCTTTACTCACTTTAGCCAAATATTCTGAGGACTTAGCCTTCTGGAACTACAAGAACATGCATCTTCAAAAAATAAACTGAACTAATGCACAGTGCTCTCCTTTCTTGGGCCCTACATATGGCAGGTCACATATTTCTACTGCAGTCCAAAGTTCTTTTGTGTTATGTTCTGCCTTTTATTAATAAAAGTTTTGCAACAACAATTCTACTTTAATTCTCTTTTAGTTACCCTTTGATCTAAATCTTGTCTAACCCTGTTCATTTCTGTAACTCAGTATGACTCCTTTTTTATTCTTGGCCTTTAGGTATAATGCATTTATTTATTATTTCAGATACATTTGTATTATCACAGAGAAAAAAGGAATTGTTACTAGTAAAATACTGTCTAAATTGTAAAGCTGGAGCTACATAATTCTCAACACAAAAGAAAATACCTTGCAGAGAGTTTACGTGCTTCTGAGGCAGGCAACAACTCAGTTACTAATCTTTGCAATCCAGCTGCCACTGCTTCTGCTTCCCTCTATTTCCTACTGATTCTCATCTGTAGCTTCACAGAGAATGTAAGCCTATTATCAATGATTTTTTCCCGACTATCAGCAATTTTATAACACTTGATATTTTACAAACAGCACACAGAAGGTTTGATTACAAAGTGCAGTACTCCATAAATCATCTCAGAAATGTCATTGTTTCCAGCATTTATACCCCAAATAAACACTCCAGATAATTAAATTACAGGAATACCTATCATGCATCATGCAGAAATGTTATATCTTATGCTGGTAAAAGCCCCAATGATTACTAATTGTCTCTTCCTGTAATACATGAAAAAAGGCACAAAATATAAACCTAAGTAATTGCAAAAAATAAAACATTTGTAAAATGATAAACGGCGAAACTCATTGCTTACAGATACCTTGATAAGCTTCTGGCTAATCTCTGCAACCCCATCTCCAAATCAAAGCCACTTTTACCCGAGCAACTTTCAGCTCTCATAGGAGCTTCCTCTGGCCTGAATATTTGATTTTTTTTTTTTGCCCCTCCCCACCATTAGGTTGCTCTGGGACAAACTGTGCTTCAGAATGTGAGAAAGGAGCTGCCTGTGGCTTTGAATTGAGCAGGTACAGAGGAAACAGCTCCAGGACAGAGCCTGGTTTTGGTTTGCAGGCACAGAGAGAGGCATGAACAGCATGTATCACTCAAAGAGAAGTAAAGGCTCTAAAAGCAGTGTGCCTTTCTCTAAAGGGGCTGGGAACCACTGCAATCAAAGATATGTAAACAAGCAAGCTTTGAAAAGTTACTTGCCATGCTTTCAGCTTGACTTGCAAATCTGCATCTCCTCCAAAACTGAGTTATCAGACCTATTGAGCTCACCTCTGCTGATGCATGCAAAAGGAACAGCGTGTGACAGACAGGTTGGGAAGAGGCTTTGACACCTCCTTGGCAGAAGCAGCAGTTATTCAATACTGACAAAACATTTACCAAGCAGCATTTTTATGGCATTTGTGTTCTAAAGGGAAATCATTGGCTAAAACGTAATGGCAAAAATGAAGGCTATGGAAGCCCTCAGAGACAAAGCTGCATTTAGGATAATGCACTGAGCACTTGAGCTACGCTCTGATCTTATTATAATAAATCAGGTCATATTCCAGTGGTGTAATAGATGTAATTTCACAAAGTACTTCCATGACTGAATACTCCAGTACACAATAATGAAATAAGATAGCAAACAAAAAGAAAATTTCTTGCATGCTCAACATCAAGAAGAGACACTTTGTGAAGTGTAAGAAATACCACAAGCCAAATAAAATACTACTGATAGTAGGAACACTTCATTCTTAAGGTTACTGCTGCAAAGTAAGACTACAATACTGTATGCACAAACAACAAATGCATGGAGAAATTATGCATTATCAAATGCAAATTCATTTAGCATATATCACCACTTGTATATGTCTCACTCGATGGAGAAAAATCACAAGAAATTCTTATTGTCTGAGAAATGTCTGAACTGCTAATAGAGCAAGAGACTAAAACCATATTTCAAAGGCACAAATCACAGATCAGCAACTACTTATGATAATAGTTTACTACTGATGTTTTCCTTTTGAAGTTCTTTTGCCTCCATTCTTGCCAAAATATTTTGGACCCTACATTATAAAAGCGTCTGAAGAAAATAATCTCTCATTTTTGTGTGTTAGGAAATTAAACGCATAAATATTTGTAACTCTGCAAGGCCTTTTTTTTAGCAATAATTAAAAATAAACTCCAAGTTCTCTCTATTATAAATAGGGAAATTAGATTTAGAAATTATCCTTTCATATAGCATAGCTAGTCATTTCTGCTTTACAGGAAACAAAAATATTTCTGGAAAAAGAGAAACATTACTTCAAATCCAAATTCCATGAACACATAGTCATTCCATCCACAAGTTGTTTGGTACTGGAAGAATGGTCAGAGGCATGCAGGCACCAGAGTAAATAAAACGAACAGTTGATTAACTGCAGATTAATAAACCCTCATTCAGTTATTGCTTTCCAGCACACTTGAATTATATTTTGTTTGACCACTGAGTTACTTACGTTCAGTTAACATAATGATTTTTAGTAATTTACATATTGGACTCATTTACTGAAAAATTTCTCAGCGAGTTGGCAGCAGACAGTCTCCAGATTCAGGCACTTCCTCATACCTCCTCACAAAGTTCAATACGTGAAGGGAGGCCTGTATATTCATTGCACAGAATTACAGTTTTAATAAATTGATGTAAGAAGAAGGATGCTTATGAACCCGAAGGACCCTGAGCAGTATGCACCTCAATCTGCCTGATAGTGCAAGGACTGAGATGAACTTTGGAATCAGCAAACCTGTGTAGCTCTTTGGCAGGAAGGAAAATAATTACCTGACAAAGCTTCTTAACAAAGTGTCCAGCTCATAGCTCATGCTTCAAAAGAACTGAAGTTGGCAATTAGTAGCTAATATGGTTTTTAATGTTTTGTTCATTTTACCTTGGTTAAAACAAGTATGGTATTTATCTGCCAGTCATGATTTATTATTTTAGTGGCAAGCCTATTCAATACACAAGCCAAATTAATGATTCACTCTATAAAAAACAAATTTTCCACAGGCAGTTATCCAGAAGGCAGTATTAACTGAATGAATGCATCTTGGGCTTCTGTTTGTTTATTCAGTGTTGTTTGCATTAACAATTACCCTGTGGCCCCCAGAAAAACACCCACAAAATGACCTAACGAGTCACCCAGTCTGTTCTGGCTTGGCAAAAGAAAATTATTGCAAATGGCAAAAAAAAAACAAACCATAAACCAAAAAACAACAACAAGAAAAAAAAGAAACAGAACAACACAGCACACAATCTTTCAGAAAGAAAAGCAGTATTAGAGGAGAGTAATCTGAAGACAGTGATATTAAATGGCAATGGGCTGTCACTGCCTTTATGTGAAACTCACTATGGCAAACTGGAGCATGAAAGTTTGGCTCTGGGTCAAAGTCTGGAATGCTGTTAGGAAAAAAAAAAAATAAATCTTTTGTCTGGTTTCTCGCTTTTCTAATGTTACCCTTTGGTGATTCAGTAGA